CAAAATTTAAATTCCAAAACTTGAGGACAAGTTTTGAACTTTATCAAAACATTTGGGTTTAGAATTCAAATATTTCAGAATTAAACTTTTAATCAAAATTTTAAATTCTAAAACTTGAGGGCAAGTTTTTGAAACTATTCAAAACACACAAGATCAAATTGCAAAAAATTTAAAATTAAACAATTAATTTATAATTATCTAATTTGACCTTTAATTTTATTTTCACAAGATAATTCAAATCTATATTACAAATAATCAATCTTTATCTAATAAAACAAATGATTATCTAAATTTTGACAATTATCTTCTATTTTGGCAAGGATAATATCCAAATATTGATAAAATTCGGATTTTATTAATAAAAAACGTTTTAGGTAATTATCCACAGCCAAAACAGGTCAAAATCTCGAAATTTGCTCCATCTGACCCTCTGACTCGTCGAGTCTAGGTTGGACTCGTCGAGTCACCCACTTGACTCGGCGAGTCAAGCCTAAAAACTTCAAAATTTTCTATTTTCAGCCAATTTTCGATCAAATAAGCATCAAATTCACTAACAAACAGCTCTAGGCTCTGATACCACTGATGGGTTTTGAGCACTACATCATTCCTATGGTGTACATGCAAACCCTAATAGCTTTTGGATCTAGTTTGTCTAATGAACATTCAATTGAATATCCAAAGCTATAAACCATATTATAATCTGAATTAGGGTTTAGAGAATACCTTTGATAGTTATGTAGCAATAACAATCAATTCCTTGGCTTCAGAAAGCTTAGTGCCTCAAGTGTTGCACCTCTAATGGAGTCACAAACACCACTAAGCAACTGGATAAAGAAGAGAAGAAGAATAACACCCAAAAGACGTCCAAAAACCCTCTCAAAAGGATTGGCCACGTTTTTGGGTCTCAAGGGGCCTTTAAATAGCTAGGCAATTAGGGTTATCTAACAAGGAAACCCTAATTTGACTGCTTAAGCCCTAAGCAGTCCATGGACCCCTTCTGGAACATGCCTTGGACGAAAATCATATGGGCTTCCCATAGATTTCGTCCAACCTATATTCCAAGGTGATCCATAGCCCAATTGCAGTTATCTTATAATTACAATTCCAGTCCCCTTAAGTTTAATTAATCTCTTTTAGCCACAAAATTAATTCTTAATTAATTATTGACCAATATTAATTAAACAATATGATTTCTCCTTTAATATTTTATTCTTATAATATATTAATAAATCATAATTAATCGTTTCTCTCCTTAATTCATCCTACATATTGCTATGGTGAAGGCAACCCAAAAGGACCATGCTCATAATCGGGTCAAGTACATACCAAAATAGTTATGGACTTAGACACTAATCCAACATTTTCTTCACAACGTTGAATGAATTGTTTCATCACGATGTGATCCCTGAATTGATTTTCGTTCATTACGTGATTATCACATATTATTGATACTTCTTTTGTCATTGTTCAGTCTAATCAAGAAATCAAGTAAACAATTGATTTTATATTTTAATTTAATCGTTCTTCAAGTGATACTTGATCATAATTGATCGTGGTTACAACTCATAGTGTTGATATTCGATTCCAATTTCTCATCATTTTGGAGATATAATCGATTGATAATTGAATGAAATGAACATCGAAGTGGGTACGGGGTAGAATTGATTCGGTGTTTATGGTGGTCAACGAAATGAAAAGTCAAAATCAGAATGATTATTGAAATTTCAGTGTTCAAGGTTCGATGTCAAAATTACGAGTCAAAGGTGTCTAATCGATATTACAGTTTCGACATTGGGTTGATTTTGAGCCTTCACATGATGTTTTTGATGTTGAATAGTTATCGATTGAGAAGGATTTGATTGTCAAAGAAAATAATGGAGATTTTTGATCGTAAAAAACGAATGAATGGTCAAACTTGGTATGCTGATCAATCCGTTGATAAAATGTTCCATTTTGGTGTGTGTGAAGTAGAAACTTCATTTGTGATGGAAGGACTTCGACAATGAAGATCAATGGTCGAAAATTTGATATCAAGGTCGAAGGATCAATGATAAAGGTTTGATAGCGAAGGATAAAGTTCAAATTTAGATTATGAATGGGAGGATAAAGGATGCTTGTAATAAAGGATTTTCGAATTGAATGGTCAAGTGTTGCTTTGTTTGATGTCGAATATTTGGATGATTTTCGAGTCAGCTGAAAGCTTCAATCGAACAATCGAAATCAAGGGGTTATAGTCGAAAATTGGTTTGCAAAGACTTTTGACTTTGACCAAGTTTGACCTAAGGGGTGTTTGAGGTATTTTGAGTTGTATCTAAGGATTGGTCATTATTTGATGAATAGGTGACGGGTAGAGCTGATATTCGGAGTCGGTACCTATTCAACTGTTGTTCAGATTCTGAGGTGAGTTTTCCTTACTGTACTTGCGGGTTGAAGGCACCAAGGCCGACCCATTAGTTGATATTCACTGTTATTCTGAATATGGAATAGATATGCATGAGTATGTTAGTTATTAATATGCTAGTCTGGTAGGTCTGTAGGACTACCTGTGTTTATGTTTGCATGGTTATCTGTATATGTTTATTATCTGGTATATGTTGAAATATTGTGTTGGGTTGAGGTTGTACTGCTCCGTGCGGTAGCCAACAAACATGGAGCATTCCAAATATAAGTTGAGGGCCGGGTAGGGCATTCCAGACTCATACTGAGGGTCATGAGCATTCCAGATACGAGCTGAGGACCGGACAATATGCCAGACTCGTACTAAGGGTCATGAGCATTCCAGATACGAGCTGAGGACCGGACAGTATGCCAGACTCGTACTAAGGGCTTGATGGTATTTTAGTCCAAGGATTGATCTGGTCAGGGAGCAAGCCAGACATAAGCTGTGGGCCCCGAGGCCAAGCTAGACTTATGCTATGGGCTCAAGGGTAATCCAGTCTTTTAGATGTGGACCCAATGCATGCTATTATTGTATATGTTATTCAGTTATGTGATTGTATTTTGGGGGAACTCACTAAGCGTTGGCTTACAGTTTTGGGTTATGTTTCAAGTACTGCGGATGACCGCAGGAAGGCGAATGCGCGACCGTACACATCCTCTTGTTATGATGTATGATTTTAGGAAAACTCTAGTGTTATAAATGTTTTGAAAACTATTTTGTAAACACTTTATGGTTTTGGGTTGAATTTAAAAAGTTTAAATTTATCATGATTTTTATGAGTGTTAAATGTCAAGTCTTTGTCGTCGACCTATCTATCATATTCGCCATCAATACGACCTACTATGTTGCGTAATTACTATCTTCTATTAAGGTTTGCTTCTTACTGCTTAAGAGGTTCATGGAGTAATACTCTATATTTAATATTTATGGTATCAGGTTCATGGAATAATACCCCTATATTTAGGTTGTGCACACACACATGTCCCGTCATTGAAGTTTATTTACCAATTATTTGGGGGTGTCTTATTTGAGCCCCGATGATGCAACATATGTATGTGTAGGTGTGCGCGCACACACACACCTATATATATAGTTTTTATACATATTATAGTTTCGTCCCCCAAATCAAAAGTTCAAGCTCCGTCACTGTTTATCAAGTGCTTGAAACTTTATGTCCTACAATAAGATAAATATAATTAAAAAGAAGAAAAGAAATGAACAACCGTGACTGCCTAAGCAAAAAAAATCAAACATAACCTCATGAACAATAGAAAACAAAAGAGTAAATTACACGAACGGTCCCTATGGTTTAAGGTAATTTGCGCGTTTGGTCCCTAACTTACTTTTTTAACTCGGGAGGTCGTTACTGTTTTTTTTTTGTTACACGCTTGGTCCCTGTCTTACCTAAAAAAAAACTATTTAGCCATTGATTTTTTAAAATATTTAAATAAACACACCCCAACTCCAATCCCCCTTACCTTACCTATCCTACATTTTTTTACTATTTAAATAATAGTCTTTTTAGGTAAGACAGGGACCAATCGCGTAACAAAAACAAACAGTAGGGACTAAACACGTAACAAAAACAAACAACAGAGACTTTCCGAGTTAAAAAAATAAATTAGGGACCAAACACGTAAATTACCCAAACCATAGGGACTATTCATGTAATTTACTCAAAACAAAATTATTATCCAAATACCCAATGCCAAATTTTCACATAAAAGATTTCAAAATGAGTAAAAATCCCACCAAAACCATGTGACTGGGCCCACTGGAGCGTGGCGTCAGCGCGTGAAAGAAAGAGCGCGTGTGTTCCTTAACTCAAATCCCATTTTCATTCATATAAACACCCCACACTCTCCAGTTAAAGACTAAAGAGTTGAGAAGAGACGAGACGAGTGAGTGACTTGGGAACTGCATCAGTGGCTATAAAGATAAAACACCCACCATCTTCATCTTCCCCTTAAACTAGGGTTTCTTCGACCTTTTCCCTTTCAAGCATCCATTATCTCACTCTAATCGACTCACTACACTTGCAGAATACCAACTTTCGCGTCCGTACAACTTTAATCTCTCAGGTAAGTCCATGGATTTGTTGTCCCTTGATTTTGAATTGTTTTTTTTTTCTGGGTTTGGAAACGTTAGATGTAATATTCTGCATCCCAAGTGTTGGTAGACTATTTCTTTTCGCAGATAATTTTTCGTCAATGTATCTCCTTTTTTTTTTTTTTTTTTTTTTTTTTTTTAAGTTTTGGTCTGGATTTGAGAAGCTTACAGCTGTCTGTACTGTGTTCATCTTCGTTTTAAGTTTTTAGCAGCTGCTTTTTTCTTCAGTTACATCTGCTAATTTTATTTCGTTTTTGGATTCTCCATTTTTCCTCCCTTTTCCCAAGATAGTGCTTCAAATGTTTTCCATTATCTCTAGCTTTTTGGTTGTCTGTTTTGGAGCAGCATTTCCGTAGTTTTGATTACCACTGAATGGTGTAAAACCCTTGAGTTATTTCGTTTTTTTTTTTTTTTTAACTCAATCTTTAAATCATATAATACAAGTTGCATAAGAACATCTTTTTTCTTTAATAAAGCTTTAAATTCTCAGTCAATGTCATAGATTTGTTGCTTTCCCCTTTTTCCTCATCTGGGTACTTTAGAAAATTTGCTTTGCGTTTTTAGTTTTTTCCGTTTTTATAAGTTCCATTAGGTATTTCGCAGCTGCATCAAAGCTTCATCCACCTCCTTAAAAAAAATCAGTTTTTTGGTCAACTCAAATGGTACTTCACCAATCTGTTTTTAGATCTAGTTGTTTAAAAATTTGAATTTATTCTACTTATCGGGAGCTTCCATCTACCGTTATAAATATAATTTCTCTAGTATTATATTATTTTTTTTGTACGTTCCAAGATGGCATTAAATCCACCATTATAAAAACTTGAATGAAAGAAAGACTTCCAATCAAAAATTAATTCTGGGTTCATTTCCTAGTATGTTTTTGTGTCAATCTACTGAGTTATTTGGATTTCCGGAATCTTTTGAGCTTCATAAAGTTAAAAAACTATGTTTCACAATAATGGAACTTTTGAAACTGAAACAAAAATATCTAGTACCAATTTTTTAATATTAAATTAGAATATTTGAATTTTAAGAGACAACATTGAACTTTTGTGTCATTGCTTATATAGGAGCACCGTATTTGGATTTATATGTGGGCTTGAAGATGCCATTAATGTTGCTTGTCTTTTTTTAATTAAAATGTATGTAATGGTAGATTGGTAGGTTTCTTTTTTTTCTATTTGGTTTTTACAATAATGTCAAGAGAAAAGCTTTAAATGCTTCTGTTTTCTCATTTCACATCAATGGGGATTCAGATCGAAAAAGTCACTTTATCATAGTGCTGAAGTTGTGTAATGATTTGTAATACTGTTCCTGTGTTTCCATATGTATAGATATTTTTTAACCAAATCCACAAGGTTCATACGATTTCTACTGTTTATGTAAAATATAGTTATACCTATTTTGATACAAATGAAAATATTTTTTAAAAGTAATTTAGATTTAAATTCCTTTTCGAGTTAGTTAGTTTGTTGAGAGTGGGGGTGGTTCTTGTGGTTGTGGAGTATGGAGTTTCTTTGAAGGTTTTGATTTCTTTTAGTTGACATTGATTAAAGTTAGGGTTTCCTCCATGATGACGTCATTTTTAGGTATCCTTTCACATATGATATATATATGCATTGCATATACATAAACATATATAAACAAATCATTCTTTCTGAATTCTGACCCAAGCATTCCTCTCAAATTCATTATAGGCATTGTGGGTCAACTTTCTTTATTCAAGTGGGCCTTTTTTTACAGGATTGCTTTTACTCAAGGGTAAAATAGACAATGCAAACCCCAAAGACAAGGTATACTATCCACTTTCACTATTCATTAGATGCGACACTTTAATTCATTTACTCTTTTGTCATAACTGGTCCTTGGTTTGATCTTTATGTTCTTAGAATCTTTCACGTGATCATTTTTTTCGAAGATTTCAAATCAAAATTACCAAAATACCCCCTGATCATTATAACAAATTATTGATTATTCTAATCTAAGTTAAAAAAAATTAAACAGAGCTGTAACCTTGGAGGTGCCACAGAGGACACCAAAAACTGCTAGGCAGCTCAAAACTTCAGGGGCAGAACCGGAAAATTCTTCCACTCAAAGTCCGGTGACCAGAACACCAAAACCAAGAAGCCCAAAAGTTTCTGAACGCCGGTCACCTCGTACTCCAACATCCGAGGTATCATATAATACTCAACAAAACATTTTGTTTTTGGCTTTCGAGTGTCACAGGGGTATAATAGTCTTTTTTTTTTCTTTTGTAAAATCACAGAAAAAGCGTCCTGGCAGAGTGGCTGAACTTGAAACCCAGCTTGCTAATCTTCAAGAAGAACTTAAGAAAGCCAAGGATCAATTGAGTCAATCGGAAGCAAGTAAGAAACGTGCCAACGAGGATGCTGACGTGGCCAAGAAAGAGCTTGCTGACATGTCAGAAAAGCTTCAAGATTCACAACAACAGCTGGATGAGATTTCGGCTTCTGAAGAATCCCGACTTCAAGAACTTAGAAAGATTTCTCAAGATCGGGACAGGGCATGGGAATCTGAACTTGAAGCTGTCCAGAAACACCACTCAATGGATTCAGCCGCCTTAGCTTCTGCCATGAATGAGATCCAGAAGCTCAAGATTCAGCTTGAAAAACTGTCTGAATCTGAAGCTAATCAAGCTAAATACGCTGAGTCAGCTCATAATGATGTGTTGGCTTTAAGGTTAGAGCTCTCGGAAACTCTTGCTGTTGTTGAAGAACTCAAAACCCAATTGAATGATTCCAAAGATTCGGAAGCTAAAGCTTTGGAAATAGTTAGTAAAACCCAAGAACAGTTGGAAACCGTAAAGTCAACCGAGGAGGCTTTGAGGTCTGAAAAGGTGAAAGCCATGGAAGCTTGTGATTCTTTAACCATGGAGTTGGAGAAATTGAAAGCTGAGAGCCATGGAGACGCTCAGGTTGATGACGAAGAAGAATCTGAGGTGGCAAAGTTACGGTTGGCGCTTGAAGGTGCTGAAAAAAGATACCAAGAAGAATATATTCAAACCACTTTACAAATTCGAAGCGCTTATGAGCTTGTGGAACAATCAAGATCCGAGTCATGTGAAAAAGTTCAAATCCTGGAGGCAAATTTGGAGAAATCGAAAGCAGAATTGGAAGATTTGAAGGCGAAATTGATTGAAAAAGAAGAAAAACTGCAAAACGTATCGGAAGAAAATAAGAACTTGAACGAAAAGCTTAAACTAACAACAGATGAAAACAAAAACACTGAAGATGACAATGCCGATGTTATGGAATTAAAAAGATTGGAGGCTGATTTGGAGGATTTGAAGAGGGTTATGTCTGAAAAAGAAACGGAATTGAAGAACATTACAGAAGAGAATAAAAGATTGATGATGGAAAAGGATCAAGTTGCAGAAGGTGAAAAAGAAGCGGTTATGAAATTAGGGTATTTGACAGAAGAGGCTGAGAAGAGTGGTAGAAAAGTGGTGAGGGTGACGGAGCAGCTGGATTTGGCACAGGCGGCGAATGCTGAGATGGAGGCGGAGTTGAGGCGGCTGAAAGTGCAGTCGGACCAGTGGAGGAAGGCGGCAGAGGCGGCGGCGGCCATGCTTTCCGGTGGGAATAATGGGAAGTTTGTGGAGCGAACAGGGTCGCTTGATTCACATACGATTGGTGGGAAGTTGAATTCACCGTTTTCAGAGGATATGGAAGATGAATCACCCAAGAAGAAGAACGGGAATATGTTGAAGAAAATTGGGGTTTTATTGAAGAAAAGCCAGAAGTAATTTCAACACATTTTGCAGGTAATTAATTAATTTTGCTTGAATCTTGATTTTTTTTTTAATTAATTGATATTGGCGGGTATGTTCTAAAGATCTTGATTGTGATCAGCTCAGGGGTTGTTTGCTTGAAGTTGAATGAATGAAGGTCGAGCCTTTTGTTAGTTTTCTTCTGTATAGTGAAGTTGAATTGTAATGGGGGCTGACTTTGACTTTGACCTTGATCTTGACCTGCCGTTTGTGGTGGTGGTGATGCATTTTGACAGAGAATGCAAGTATTTGTAATAACACGACAATTAACGTCTTATTATCGGCATTTCGCATCATGTTTCTCAATTTACAGCGTCTATCTTTATAATCTAGTTGAACAGATGATTTTATGTAGTTTGCATGTCGCGCACGTTAGGAGTTAGGACTGAATGCTACTTTGTCCTTAAATTAATACAAAATAGATGAAAAAGGGAAGTTATAAACAGGAAATAATTACGGTAAACCTATTAGGTATCTAAGATAATGCTCGTAAGACTATTAGGTATGGGTTGGTGTTATAACTAGGTTATGGGATGTTACGAGGTAGAGAGAGAAAAGAAAAATAGATTTGCTTGTTTGGAAAATGATGTTACATCTCTTTGTTGTTACCATGCTTCTTACATAACATGAGGGTGGGGGTGGTGTTCTTCATGTTATAACTACGCTATGAGGCTGCTACTTCAGTCATAATGATGTTATGGTGACCTATACCCAATCTAATCAAAATGTAACTTTAATTTTTCAACCAAAATTTTCATTTTTAAATCACATAAAACCCAACATCACATTTCTTAAAAACCACAAATGTATATGTTGTCAAAACACAAGTCAACAACTGTTTGATAATATTCTAGAATCCTCAAAAACATAAACTCCAACAGGTGTGTACAATCAAGCTGACGCTTTCCCACGATTCTGAGAAATACCTGAAACACATATCACACAACACTGTAAGCACGAAACTTAGTGAGTTCCCCAAAATACCGCACACATATCATTAACCTCTCATGGCTATATCTCGATAAAGACCCTCCGGTCAATGTATCTCAGTGAAGACCCTCCGGTCTCACAACTCGGGGTGGACCCTCCGGTCCTAACTCAATAAAGCACAGAATAATATACAACATAAATCACAAATACATAATGCATAATATCACATAACTCAGTATAAACATACAAGACCCTCCGGTCGATAACTCATATAAGACCCTCCGGTCACACAATATTGCCACTCAGGTAAGTATAGTGAGAAGACTCATCTCGCAGAGTAAAACAATCTATCCCACACTCGAGCTGTTGGTCAAATCTCCGCCCCTCCATGGCCTCCAAAATCCACAGTTGACCAAAACCCTAAAGTCAACGGAAGTCAACAGTGAAAGCTGACCCAACTCTAAAAGTCAACGGAGGTCAACACTCGAGTCAATAGTCCATGTTGACTCAACTCGCCGAGTACAGCTCATGAACTCGTCGAGTCCCTCAGAACTCAGTAAATCGCGAAAACCCGAGTCTACTCGCCGAGTTGCTAGCCAACTCGTCGGGTCCATGCAACGTCCAAAAGACCAGGAAAACCCTACCTACTCGTCGAGTCCACTCTGACTCCAAAGACGGGTAAACCCTCTCAACTCGTCGGGTTGTCTCATCAACTCGCCGAGTCTGTACCGCGTCCAACCCATCGGGGTAAACCCTAACCGACTCGTCGAGTCGGCTTACCAACTCGTCGAGTCCCTTCAGTCCAATTCCTCATCCAGACAGTTTTGGACAGAAATAAGGTCTCATACTCTGGATCTAGCCTCCTAAGGCTGAATCATCACGTAAAGCTGCAAGCTTTACGTTCATGCATGACATATATGGCTCAAAATGCCAAAACAAGCTCCATAAAAGTTTTCATGCATGGAGACTTGCCCAAAGCTTGATAAAGCTTGGATCTTTGGGCTCATAGGGACTCATATAACTCAGATCTGGAGTCTCAACCTCCATTACCAGCTCAACAGTTCAAAATCCAAAAGATGGATGGAAATAAGCCCTAAAACTCCCTAGGAAGAGATCTATCACAAGAGATGCCCAAGATGGTAACTTTTTACCTCCAAACTGAAGCTAGCACAGAGAAACACTTGATCCACAAGCCTCTTCCCGTTCCAAGGCTTGATGCTCTTCACTCTTCTTCCAAAAATGCACTTGAACACAAGATCTTTAGCCTTTCTCTTTCTCACAACGACTATAATTCGTCTAAGGTTTCTCTCAGTGTGTCTAAATGATTAGGGAGGCGGAGATGAGGGCTTAAGGTCCTTTAAATAGGGTTCAAGCCCTAAAATTAGGGTTTTCTCAACACAGACTCAACTCGTCTAGTCCAGCCCTTCGACTCGACGAGTAGGCTTCATAACTCGCACGACCAGCTCAACTCCTACATGACGAGTCGGGACCAACCAACTCGTCGAGTAGGTCCTACAATGTGCATTATAACTCTTCAAGTTGCACATCCAGAATTCGAGGTGTTACACAAAAGGTGAAAGTACAACGTAAATATATGTTGGGCGTCCCCTCAAATTCACAACCAGACAACAGTAAAAACAATTTGTTAAATAAGAAGGTTAATTTTATATGTATCTCGAATTACTTATTGTATCCCCATATGTGAGTGTTTGTGTCTGTGTGTAGCCCCCATGTTTGAGTTTTTATGTGAGTGACAAGGATACATATAGTAGCACCTAATAAGAAATGAAAACTTGAAGTTGCATGTGCTTTAGTAAAACATATCGACTGTCCATAAAATCGAGAAATATTAATCTCATTTTTTCTGCCGTCCATGAAAACAAAATTACGAGCAATCTGCATTTTAGTTTTGTTGTCATAATGTAAGGTGGCATCATCAACACACATATCTACAAGTTACCAATAAATCGATCAATCTAATAAGTAGTCACAACTATCATTGATACTCGTCCATGGAGGAACGTCAACGATAAACAACATATCATTTCCTATTCTTCCATGAGATAAGAGAATATCCAATAAAAAACATAAACCAATATTACACCTATGATTATTAGGATCATCATCACAATCAATATCACTATAAGCACAAATCTATAGGGAAAACGTCGAAGAAACCAAAAGAATATGAAATTGAGTGCCTTGTAGATTTCTCAAAATGTGAAGAATCGCTCATGGTAAATAGTAGTAGGGGTGGTAACGAACTGATTAACCACATAAACCGCATGTGTTATGTTTAAGTGAGTAACCATGAGATAATCAGGCTTCCAAAAATTGTATGGTATAAAGTAAGGTATGAAACATGCACACCATGGGTCGACAAGTAACGAACATCGATTTCAAGGGATCGGCCAAATCACGTTTTAATCACGCAATATTATCATAATCATCATCATTAATAATCATGTCATCGATATATACGTACAAGATGATTCAACCTGCACTAGTAAATTTAACAAACAATGCCAAAACATGATTGCCAGGAAGAAAGCAAAGAGATGTAATATTGTGAAGAACTTCTCAAACCAAATACAAAGTGCTTGTTTGAAACCATAAAATGCTTTACGAAACTGACACACTTCACTTGTCTAGTGAATTATAGCCAGAGAAGGCACCATAATCATAATATGTATAATCATCATTTTCATAGATGGTGCAAAACTTTTTTCATAATCTATACCGTATTAATGAGAGTAACCTTATACAACAAGCTCGACCTTATGCCTTTCAATTGACCTATCAAATTTTGTTTTTTTCTTGAAAGAACAGACCTATCAAATTTTGTTATGATCTTGTAAACCTAATGACAACAAATAATACATTTTATGAGTGGCCGCAAAACCAAATCCTATATGTGGTTTGACGAAGAGTAGTTAGTTCCTCATTCATATCATCCTGCCAAAATGGATCACAATCTACCTCTTGAGAGGAATTAGGTTCATATAGACGACGTAATTGGAAACAAATAAAACAACATAAACAAAATACGAGTATTAAACAAAGTCGGGAAGTTTAGTAGACTTACATGGTGGAGGGGCATCTATAGTCTTGTAGGTGATTGATTAGTTGCAAACACAAGAACATCCATAGTCGCAGGAGGAAACATAGTATCTATAGATGTAAATGTCTCATGTATTGAATATGAGATCATGTAAGAGAAGTGTCCCTATGACAATAAGTTATATATCACTTGAGATAAAATATGATGCGATTGATCGAAAACAGAAAAGAATTACATATGCTCGAAAAATGTTACATGATGCAAAACATTAAATTTTTTATGTAACACCCTCTTTTGCAGGTAAATTTTAAACGATGGTTGTTGCATTTAAAAGGAATGTCAAGGTATTATGGGTGTTCAAAATATCCGAAAACCGAAAAACCAAAAGTCCGTCCGATTTTTAGGTTAACCGAACCGAATTTTTTGACATTTCCGGTTTGGTTAACCGAACCGCTAAAATATTAGGTTTTTCGGTTCGGTTAGGGTTCATGTTTTTTTGCCGTGGACAGTTAACCGAAAAACTGAATTTTTATTGTCTTAATAGTTATTCAAAATAAGATGTGCAATTTGCAATAGAATAACATATTACTACTCCCTATCAAATTGCAACAAAATTTAAATTCAAAATACGAAATGACATTATCAATTTATTAGACCAATAACATATGAAATTTTATTAATAAAACTAATGTTATGATTCACTTTAAACAACCACGTTTATGTGATATTGCAGTGTAAATCTAAAATTATGACGATTACCGTAACAAATAAATAATTTTGATGATCTTTGATTAAACTTTATATATATTCATTATTTTTTGGTTTTTCTTGAAGATTGTAGCAAATTATTATCCTTGTTTTGAATATTAATCGTTAAGTTTTTTAGTTTCGAAAAACATTTATTAATTCATAGACGGTTAATAGGTTAACCGAATAACCTAAACGGAAAAACATGTTAATCGAGTTCTTCGGTTTTGGTTTAAGAAATTAACGAACCGATTGTTCCGGTTATCCTTCCGAAATATGATTTCGGCTCGGTTAACCATCCATGAACGCCCGTACAAGGTATAGATGACGATAAACGACACAAGATGCAAGGATATATTATAGGATGTTATATTATGTTATGATTGTTGGATTTATTAACTAACAACATTTAAATTATTATATTATCTTTTAGTTGGGTTTTACAACCATTAAAATATTGTTGGGTAATATTTATGTTTTATATTCATGCCTCTTGTTAAAGTGATCACTTTTGATTTTGTTTGAGAACAGTATTTTTATTTTAAGAAGGCTTGAAACTAAGATTATAGATTTTTAAACATAATATAACTGAATCCAACAGTAAAAGCCCAAAGACCTAAACGAAAGCCCAAACAGACCCATTTTGTCAGTATACTATTACTAATTTACTATAGATACATCGATGTAAAACCGCATCATCGCCGTTCAGTTCGCAAGGAGAATTAGGGTTTTTAGTCGGAAGTTTATCGCCTTTTCAGTGCAAAGATGGGGTAAGTAACACATTCGTGGATCTAATGTAACTTCTTCCATAGTTATGATTGTGCGTTTGAATGTTATGTGTAGGTCTTTTGTGTATCATATAGCTGTGATTAGTAGAATTCATCCAAATGGTACAAATGCTTTCTAAAAAGCTCCGTCTAATTGATAACCATCATTTTCATATATGTTCATTGACTAGTGTTTTCTGCTGATTTAATGTTTTGACGAGGAAATACAAGTTTGAATATGAATAACCTAAGAAAAAGAGGCTTATAAGTATTGTTTTTCATTTGCTTTGTTTTTGTCGAATATTAGAATTGATATGCATATCTTAAGATGATAACTTTATGCCAATTTTGGTGAACATTAGCATTGGAATTTTTCTTGAGCTTTTGGATGGATATGCTGCTTCAGTTATGAGTGAACATTGATATGTTGCAGGAAGACACATGGAATGGGAGCTGGTCGCAAGCTAAAGAGTCACAGAAGGCGACAAAGATGGGCTGACAAGTCTTACAAGAAGTCTCATCTTGGAAACGAATGGAAGAAGCCATTTGCTGGTTCTTCTCATGCTAAAGGCATTGTCTTGGAGAAGATGTATGTAAACATACATTCTACACTCTTCACTTTTTTGGTCAATTTTCACATGATACATTTTGTCTTTTTAATTTATAACATCACTGAATGTTTCTCAACATTTCTCTACAGTGGTATTGAGGCCAAACAGCCTAACTCTGCCATCAGAAAGTGTGCAAGAGTTCAACTTATCAAGAACGGAAAGAAGATTGCAGCTTTTGTCCCCAATGATGGTTGCTTGAACTATATTGAAGAAAATGTGGGTATTTTAGTCATTCTTCATCAGTTTGCTTGTGGCCCTATGGTTTCTAATTCTTTTTTTGGTACAGGACGAGGTGTTGATTGCAGGATTTGGACGTAAAGGGCATGCTGTGGGAGATATTCCTGGAGTTAGGTTTAAAGTTGTGAAGGTGTCTGGTGTCTCTCTTTTGGCGCTTTTCAAGGAGAAGAAAGAGAAGCCAAGGTCTTAAGCATGATTTTAGTTTCTTATCTCATTGTTTTTATATTCAAGACTTCACATTTTACTGTTCTTTATTTAATCTGGGATTTTGAAATACCATCTATTTCGACTTCAAAGAAGCACAAATATTGCCTGTGTTAAATTTAGCCCACACTATCGGGTAAGGGTGCAGTAGTCATTTTACATTGGTTAGGGATGATCGGTGTAACAAATGCTTTGTTTTGAACTATGAGCCCCACCCAAAAAAAACTTCTTTGCAGCTCAAATAACTTAAGTTTATTATGATTATTACAAGTAGCTTAAAAAACTCAAGTCTCTAATTACAAGAATGAAGAAAATACCCACATTTTCTTCAATGTAAATTGACTATTACAAGTAGCTTAAAAAACTCACGTCTATTATTAGGTTGTGCATAAAAATCACTTTTTTTTTTTTTTTTTTTTTTTTTTTTTTTAGTAATCTTTTTATGTGATTTTACAACGAAAATATGATGAGTAGATTCATAGTTTCCCTTGTCATCAGACAACTAACAGAGGTTGAAGATTTGTTCGACCTTTCAAAAATTTACTATTAGTTTTATCAAACACTTTTACATAAATACATATCTAAACTAGCCGTTATTTTTGCCAAACAGTTAATGTAATGACTTGTTTTATTGACTTAATAATAAAAAAAGAAGAAGAGGGTTATATAGCGTTTGGATTGCACCATTCTCATGACCAAGGTTTTAGAAAACTCTCCTCCCATGAGGGATTTAATGAGAATAGATGTTACTACTTCAGTCCTGCTGTTGCTGCCATTACTAGTCCCTCTACTATGTGATCTTTAGACCAAGTGGTATACTTATAACGAACATGTTCGTGGTCTATGTGGCCACGAACAATAATTGTGAACACCACCCCATATTCTTAGTGGTGGCTAGTGGTGGAAAAATTCGTGGTCAATTGTTGTGGGGAGGACGAACCACCACGTCCAATGAGCTTTTTTCTTTCTCTATCTATCTCTATCTCTCTCTACATATTAATTAATTAAAAAATATATATATTTTATTTTAATAATGAAAAAATAAGAAGGATATAGTGGTGGTATCCCAACCTTTTAGTGGTTGACTGTGGTAATGAGTTGGCACCCACCACTTTAGTGGTTAGTGGTGGGTATAACGGATGACCTTACAACAATGATCCCACTTGGATGATATTCCCTATCGTGATCGGAACCCAACACAAAATTAGCATGGAGAGGGATGATGTGCGCCTAGAGAGAGAGGAACAGAGTGAAGTCATGGCGTAGGAAAGTTAGATTAACAAAGAGCGATGGCTAACGAAGAGACATGTTGACACTTAGGTGTAAGATGTTTTTACAAAACTAATTGGAAGTTGAAAATTAGAAGTTATAGTTTTTATTTGTATAGAAGTGTTTGACAAAAGTAGTTATCAGCGCTTAAAAGTTTAAAATTATAAAAAAGACCTAACTAAAAGCTCATAAAAACTAGTTGAAGTGGCGTTTAGTTTAAAATGAAAGTTAAAACTTTGTAGTATCGAAAATAATTAGTAGTCAATTATCTAAATAAATCATAAACTTTAAAAGATTCACAATAATATAAAAAAAACACCGTTTTAAGCCCTCAAAAAGAGTTGAAAATACCATCGAAAAACGATAAATTTTGTTAATTTGCCGTTTTTTTTACTACCATGCGAATTTCTTCTAAGTTTAAGACCGGATTATCAATTTGGCAGATTTGGTGATGATGTCATCAAGTCTTTAATCATAATTAGTGATAATGTTAGTTCAAAAATTTATATTTTGTTAGAAAAAACAATTTTCAAACTTAGATTTCATAAAAGTTTGAAAATCACCATTTTTTAACATGACGGCTCTTTTGGTTTTTCTAAAATAAGGTTGTTATTTTTTAATGTTCAAATATGAAAAGTGGTTAATTTGGTGAACATCCATAACTTTATCTTTAATGTATGTCTTGGTTCAAATATATAACCAAAAATATTAGACTATTAGTGTTGTTAAATATACACAAGAAAGAAATCATTTGAAATGCTTAAAATCAATAATTAAAACTTGAAACTGATAGAGTGATGGTTGAGTTTGATACAACATAATATATATTCTTTTTCTTAAAAATATAACCTTCATAAATAAGAAAGGCAATAATGAATCGAATTAATGTTCTTTGTTAAAACCTTGTGCCACAATAAATTCAATTGTCAAATAAAAGTGATAGATTGGATTATGAATGCATTATTAAAAAACAAAGGACAGAAACGTGCAATTCAATACTGATGGACTATTTATGTAATTTACACAATACGAAATAACGGTCTACTTTTCCGCCGAACGACCTATGTAGAATAAGGACTTTCCACTCCACATCTTCGAGCTTCTCTTACCTAAATCTCCCAAACAATCGGGTCTTCTCCTTCTTAATTCGGATCAAGAGTACGACCCAATTCTCCGGCCTTCGGAAATCGGAATGAAAGTAAATGATCGGAAAGGTCGGGGAGTGAAGACATTAGGTTTTCCGTTTATCTAAAAGCGACGATATCTTAATCGCCGTTTCCTCTTCTTCTACACAATGATGGTGCATCTTTTATAACTGAGAAACATTTTCAGGTGATTCTTGTTGTTTTAATTCCTCAATGTTACGATGCACCTTTGTTATTTTTGTGTTTTAGTTTTGATTAGTCAATTCGGTGGCTAAATTAGGTAGCAACAATATATAAACTGTACGATTCTTTCAGAGTTGATTTGCTGATCAAATTTTAGTAATTGTTGTTCATAATTAATCTATCTACGTTCATCCGTTTACTGTTGCTGTGATTCACTCAGAATCCCGATTTTCTTACATTTGCTTTCTGGTTCAATTGACTATTCCTTCTTCGTTTTGATCTGTTTGTGTACTGGTGTTCTTTTGGCATCTGAAACTCTTCCATTCAAGAGCCATCATCATCTGCATGAGAGAAAAACAATCCGCATTTGCTTATCTTTTCATTCTCAATCACATCCTCAATGTGCACTTATTGATTGGAACCATTATTGATTAATATTGTGAGCACTCGATCAAAGTTAGAGAAAATATAACATTTCTTGAATACAATTACAAAACATAGATGTTAACGATTGTGTCCACTGAGCTAATTTATAAAAGGTCTTTGCTTCCTTCATAGAAATGCATTAGCATGTGTAAAAAGCCATTTGTAATCACTATTTTACAGGACATCTTTCAAGTTGAGGGTCACCAGTTGATAGGCATGATTAGGGATGAGATTTAGAACCGGAAAACTGGACCGGAACCGGAACCGTTAGAACCGGAATATATAGAACCGGTTCCGGTTCCGGGTTTAAAAATTGGTTTTATCCGGGTTCCGGGTAATTCGGGTTTGGGTCCATCGGGTCCGGGTAAACCGGGTCTAAAAATCGGAACCAGTGTTTGGAACCGGAACCACTTTTAGGGCCGGAACCGGTTTTTGTGAAACGTTTAAAAGATGCATATCTCATTCGTTTCAACTCCGATTGACATGCGCTTTTTTCCAACATGTAGCTTAGAGTTTGTACATTATTTTAGACTATAAATTTGTCATTTTTAGTTTTATATTCATTGACTTACACTCCCCCAAAGTCGAGATATCAAATCTGAAAGTTTTTAGTTTTTTAGTTTTTTTGTATTCGGTGAAAGTTTTAAAACATGCATATCTAATTTGTTTGAAGTCGGATTGACATGTGGTTTTTTCTAACTTGTAGTTTACAGTTTGTACATGAA